AGGGGGGTAAGAGATCAACCAAAGGACTTGTATGCATGCATATAAGCATAACCAATGGACATAAGACACTGGGGGATAGGGACGGCTAGGGGGCTGTCTTGGGCGGGGGGAAAAAATGGACACATATGTAATACCCTTTGTAATAAATAATAAAATAAAATAAAATAAAAAAATTTCAGGGCTAAAGGGGCTACCCAGTACATTCCAGTGAGTTACACCTTCCCAGTGAGTTACACTCTGCCCTTGGCCAAAAACTCATTATCATCCCAGGATTTGAAACCATAGTTCTGAAATCATATCTGATCCGACTATTCCACAGTTCTCCCAATAATCCATGTGAGTTCCACAGCAGGGTAAAGTCACACATTAACACCAAGAGTCAAAGTTCTGGGTTGTCATTTTGAGCACATTTCTAATTAGCTGTGTGACCTTGGGCAAAAGTTACCATGGAGATGACAGTGTCACCAGGCCTAGTTCTCAGGGGATTTTTGAGATGCAAATGGAATATCTGATGGGAAAGTGCTTTATATAAAGTGCCAAACACTGTACATTCATACAGAATATGCTTAACAACTTTTATCATATCTAAACCATTGACTGGAAGATGTACCATCAACTTAGAATGAAAAAATTGCTCAACTACGACACATCTATGATTATAAGATAGCCCAATTTCAGCGATATTAAAATTTGAAAAAAAAATATATCTTAGAACTGTTGAAATACAACTTATTTGTCTCTAAAATACAGGCACTTGTTATAAAATCTTCATATTTGCCAATGGCACATAATAGGTTCTCAGTAATATATGTCAAGTAAGTGAGTGAATACCCAATGATAATATTCATAGGTCAAATTATTGCCTCTCTCTAGAAATGGGCAGCAGAAGGTTTCCCAGTGCCAGTACCTCCCCTCTCAGTCATGTCCCAACCTGCTCAAAACCCTCAAATGATGACTTCAAGTCATATCCAAACTCCCAAGCCTGGCATTTGTAAGGCCCTTCATAATCAAGCCTCCTTTCCCACCAACCACCAGCTGGAACTCTGCCCCAGAGTGATGACCTCACCACCAGAATATGTCACTCCAAGGGTCCTAATCAGTCCCAGCCATAGTAACCAGCTCAGCAGCTCAGCTTCTCCTCCCTCTACCCATCCCCAAAGCCAACTCTAGGCTGGCCAGCTGCTTACAGTGAGCATGACCCTGAGGGACTGCCTAACCCAGCAGTTCTCAACCTGTGGGTCGCGACCCCTTTGGCGGTCAAACGATCCTTTCACAGTGGTCGCCTAAGACCATCCTGCATATCAGATATTTACATTACGATTCATAACACTAGCAACATTACAGTTATGAAGTAGCAACGAAAATAATTTTATGGTTGGGTCACAACATGAGGAACTGTATTTAAAGGACCAGAAGGTTGAGATCCACTGGTAACCCAAAGGTCCCAGGCCTACACCCTACCTTTCAAGCAGCTAACCCCAACTACTTCTCTCCCACCTAGAGTGTACATTCCAGACTGTAAAGGCCTGGGCATTGGAGTTGAGGGGCAGTCCTACAAAGATTCAATGCAAGACACACTTCCTTTTAACAGTCCCCAGTGCTAGCAGCAACCCTGGAAGGAGAAATGCTGGTCATGGAGTAGAGTAAATCCTATTGGAGATTTTGCGCCCCCTCCCTCATCATCCACCATTATTCACTGTAGCACCCACTTTCTCTGGCCCTTCATTTTTATTTCCCCATCAGTAAGAGTGAGGCAGGGTGAGGATTGGGAAGGGGGAAAGGGAAGTAGTAGCTTCCCTTCACTCCACTTAAAGGCTTTCTTAAATGCACAAGTGCTGAGAGAGGTAAGCCATTAAGTCACTGACACCTTAGTAAGAACAAGTTTTACTGGAAGGCAAGCAATTTAGAAAAGGGGGAGGGGGTAGAAGGAGAAAGAGGATTGGAGATAAAGTTAAGTGAGTCTGGTATTAGAAAAGTAACTCAGAGAGGACCCTAAATTTTTGCATTTTGTGTTGAGGGCTGGGAAGCAGTGAATCCCTGGGGAGGGAAGCCTGGGAGATATCTTTCTGGTCTCCATAGCACACCAAAGTCCCAAAGACATTGCTCTGTCAGAGTACCTGGCCACAAGTCCACCGATCTCGAGTACTCTCCCTCGAACCCCATGCCCTCAACACAGTAACATTTACAGTTTCAGCTCTACTCTCCACATTTTATTTAGTATTCTCTGGTCTACAGCCCACCCCCACCAGCCCCCAACATCCCACCAGCCCCAGCCCCACCCCTCACCCCACCGTATTCTCTGGTCTACAGCCCACCCCCCCCAGCCCCCAACATCCCACCAGCCCCAGCCCCACCCCTCACCCCACCCCCACTCCTGCGCAAATGGCCTCCCTCCATGTCACTGGCTAGCTTCAGAAAACTCCCATCCTTCAAAAAGCCCCGATCAAAGGGCTATCACTGTCTGCTCTCCAGGGACCAGGAAATCAAACTCCTTTTCCTGAGCCCATTAAATGGTTATCCACGCCTTTCCCCCAGCTCTCAGCACTTTCTGTCTAAGGTCAGGTTCGGCTCCTCGGTGGTCTGAGCGCTCTCTGAGAGCAAGAACTGGGCCTTATCTGCCTCTCCGACCTAAAAACCCACCAACGCCCCCTGGCACACTGGGCCCTGGAGAAATGCTGGAGAACAGAAATTAGGAATTGGGAGCCATTTATTTTCATTACAGTCGGCCTTTAGTGACTGACTTCTGGGGAGGCCCTCCTTCTCCCTGGACCTCAGTTGCCCCAACTGTAAAATGGGGGCTTGGATAACTGTATTCCTAGGCCCCTTCCACGGTGACAACTGGGATTCCGCGAAAGCTCTAAGCAGCTGGATGTGGCCCCGCCCCCTGCGCGCCCAGAAAGGCCCAGGCTGGGGTCACACAGGGAAGGGCTCCGACCCCGCCCAGACCGCGATCTGAGCTTCCCGGCAGCTGGTGTGGCCCAGCCCGCTGGGTGCCCAGAAAGGCCCAGGCTGGGGTCACACAGGGAAGGGCTCCAACCCCGCCCAGACCGCAATCTGAGCTTCCCGAAAAACTTCGGGTCTCCCTTCAATGGCGTGTACCCCGTGATTGCACCGCGGCTGGCACTTCCGCACCGCGGGCCCTGGGGCCGGGGCAGGGCGCACACTCCACACCCTGCGCCCGCGCGGCTGCCACCCCAGAGGCGCTCGCGCCCGGGGAGGCTGGGGGTTCCCGAGGCACCGGCGGGCGGAGGGTGAGGGGGAAGGAAGGAGGATTTGCAACAATACCTCTGGGAGGAGGCAGCCGGGGCAGCGGCGGTGGCGGCGGCGGCTGGAGGCGGAGGCTAAGGCGTAGGAGGAGGTGCCCAGGCACTCCCCCTCCCATTGTCCCCAGCCCCGGACAGGCCCGGCCCCGCGCCCCGCAGCGTGTCCCGCGCCCCGGATCGTGCTACCAGCCCTTACCTTGCAGCTCCCGGCTGTCCCCCTGCTCGCTAAAGCTACTTATCCCGGGAAAGCTCGCGCGGGGCCCGGGAGCGAACCCACAGACAAAAAGTGAAACTTCGGCAGGGCTGGAGCGACTGCTGGTTGGTGCCTTTCCCCCTCCTTCCTTCCCACCGTCCCCACCCCCTCCCCTTGGTCTCCCGTGCGGCAGGGGCTGTACCAAAAGGTGGGTGCACAGCAGGTATTTTATTTCCTGGAAATGAGAGGAGGGGACCTAGGGATGCAGGGAGCTCGCAGAGGAGGAAGAGAAAGGAGGTGTGGAAGCTTTGCCTGAACTGAAGGAAGAGGAAGAAGATGTAGAAGGAGGAAGCGGCCGAGTCGAGGGGCTGTTTGAGAAATGGGAGAACCTGCATCTGCCCTTAAAGGCGCCAATTTAGGGCGCTGAGTCTGAGCAGCAGAGATCCTGCTCAGATTCCTTCCGAGATCTGGGTCCTGAGACTCTCCCTGGATTCCCAACAGGACTCCTAACGTACAGGAGGTCGGAGCTGGCTAAGACCAACTTCCAATCCGTCCACTTCCCACGTGAGAAAACTGACGCTCTCCGAAGAGAAATGACTTGTACAGAGTCGCACACGCCACCGACCCAGGAGCGGGACCTGGGTGTTCAAAACTCACAATCCCAGTTCCCTCCTCCAGTCAGAGCCCTGACTCCCTCCTTCCCACAGAGAGAGAACCAGGTTAGATGTCAGCGGGCCACGCAGACCACCCAGTGAAGAGAATTCCAACTCCCCTTGGCCCGGAATCAGTTCCTGGAAGGTCTGATTGACAACCCTGAAGGACAATGACGTTGCTTCCAGGCCACTTCCTCTGTCCTAGACTCAAATAAACGAACCCCTGGAGTTTAGCGTTTATTTTACAGCCTGGTCCTGAAGCCCAGAAACTTTTTTCTGTGCTTATATCTCCAAAAAGAAATCAGCGAATTGGGTGAACTGATTTGAATAAAAGCAAGCTTGTTCTTGGAAAGTTAGAGTTGAATTTTCCCCTCTGACATTTGTAAATGTGCGCAATCATGGAAACCATGCCAAGGAGTTATAATGTGCAGCAGCCATTGCCTGGGAGGTGGTCCAAGGCTGGGGACTTTGTTTCCTTGTATTTCTATCCTATTGATATCTACAATAATAATCCCTCACTTTGGCACATCATTAAAGCAGTTTATCAAAGCTTCATGTTAGCTAGGACAAAGCATAGTCCCCCTTTTACATTTGAGTGAAAAGGTAAAGTGACTTGCCCAACACAAGCGCCTAAACTCACCTCCACCCATCCAAGTCACCTGACTAATCCCAGGATGTTTCCACCAAACAGGAGACCCTGACCTCCAGCAGGACTTAATTCCTATTCATGAATGTTGAGAGTACACTGAGTTGCCTACACATGAAACTTCCAAAACTTGGTTCTAATGGGATTTGGTGGAATTTTTTGACCAAGAATTAAAGAAATAAATGTAGAAACTTATATTATTGCACTTGATGTTTATTTAACACCTTCCTTATGCAAGCTCTTTGAATTCCTGGGTTCAAATTGCTTAATCTCTCTTCCTCTCAAATTCTCACCTACACGTACAAAAATAGGAAGATAGTAGCAGAGAGATAAGGTCAAGAGTATCTAGTCCATGCAATAATGAAATAGTTTTCTTTTTGCAACTAACATAGTTTGAAATTTTTTTTAAAAAAATGAACTCTTAAAGGAGATTTTGTTATGGAGCTCTAAAAAGATCATAACTTATCCCAACACAATTCTACCTTCAACATTTCAGCAAACCCATATTCTAAGGGGTAGTGTTTACTATGAAAAACACCTGGTATCACACAAAGTAAGAATGGATTTACCCAAAGCTCATCGGATATAACAGGACTTGACCAGCATTTCTTTTTATTTCCCCCATTAACCCACTTATAAAGAATAATAGGGTTCTAATGAGGATTAATAAGATTTAATAAGGTATAATTAGAGTCATTCATTTCCTCCATCATACACATTATAAGAGTGCTGTGTTGGATCCAGAAATGCTACTAATTATGTTGGAACTGTTATATGGCTGTGTTGGGGAAGATCACTGTGTTTCTCCTCCTGAAATATTTATGAATTACCCAGGTGGGCATGGTGTTAGCATAAGCATTATATAAAGTTAATCACAAAAGATGATTTCAACTCATGAAGTACTCACCAGGAGTATAAGAGGTAAAGTCATAAATTGGATGCTTGGCAAACTACATGCAGGGTTGTCATCAATGCAAGATCAAATCAAAAGGCTCATTGTCATTTGCTGATCTGGTTTCTTTCGGATTCTCACTTTTCTCAGCATCGCTATTAAAACCTGCTGTGTGCAGGAGCTTTGGAAAGAAGGGAAGGGTGTGTAAACTTGCAGACTCAATGCTAAAAAAAAATACAGATTTATAAATTGGAAGACTAAAAGAAGCACAGAATTTCAGGTGGGGCAGAGGTTATGTATTCCGACGATTACACATGGTACCCTAAACGCCTATAGAAGCATTCTGACTGGTCCAGTGATAGCACACAAAACTTTGAGGAAGGCCTGGCTGTGGTCCCACCATTTCCTTGCATCCATTATAGCCCCTTACCCAAAGGCCCTTGTGTAGCTCAAGTCAATCTTTTCTTTGTGTCTCTGATATGCCAGGCAATATTCTAAAGGTTGTTCATATGCTTTTCATTTAATCCTCACAAAGCCCTTCTGAGGTTGGCATTATCACTTTCTCTATTTTGTCCATGAGGAAAGTAAAGCCCAGAGAGGTTAAGTGGTTTGCTCTTACGCCAGAGCTAGTAAATGGGTAAGCTGAGATTCCCCCTGAGCCCAGGCAGCCTGGTGCTTTGCTCACTCACTGCTGAGTGACCATCTGGTCTCAGTTGGAACACTCTGATGTGCAGAACTCATAATCTCCAACAGCTGACCAAGAAGAAAAGATATGAAGAGGCTACTGGAGAAAAAAGGACAAGGTTAGGCATGGAAGATAAACACCAACATGATGTTGCCTCTCCATGCTTAACACCCATCAGGCCACACTCCTTAATGTGGTTTGCACAGCCCTTCAGATTGTCTGCCAGTCCTTTACATGCACTCACCCTCCAGCCAAATGAAGTTCTGGTGGTTTCCCAAACACATCTTACCTGTTCATGCTTATCTGCCTTTACACAGGTTCTTCTTTCTCCCAGGAGCCCTCTTCCTTCTCTCTTCACCAGGCAACGCTTACCTAACCTCTTCAGATTCCCCTTAAATAATGCCTCCTTTGAGAGGCCTTCTAGCCCCTACAGACACCTCCAGTGGACATATTACCCCTACAGAGTGCTACCATTACTCTGCTTATCTCAATCCATATGACTCTGACTAGTGTCATTGGTTACCTTGTCTTTCTCTGCTACTGGACTGAGAATCTAATTTATCTCTTAGTCCTTAACACAGGGCTTGCCTTGATCATTGCAGGCACTCAATTGTTTCTCCTCCTCCCCTCCTCCTCCATCTCTCCCTTCACCTCCTCCTTCTCCACCTTTTAAATCTTTATTGTTGAAAGTATTACATTTGTCTTCTCCTTTTTCTTCCCCTTCTCCTTCTTCCCCTCCTCCTCTTCCTTCTCTTAAACCTCCTCCCTCTTCTTCCTGTCAAAGGCTGAGGAAGATGCAGAAAGTATAAGGCCCAGGCATTTAAATAAAATCACATAACTTTTTCAAGGGATGAGTCCTAGATGTAATAAGACCAATGGGAAGGAAAAAGAAGAGTCAGAGGGGCCCAACCATTTGGAATTAGAACCAGGATTGGCATGGGAAGACAAAGGAGAGAAAGTTTTGTAGTCCTTTCCTTGCCCTAAAACTGCTGTGTGAACTCCTGGCAAGTCACCTCCTCTCTGATCTCGTTTTCTTTATCCATAGAATTAGGTTCTTAGATTTGATATTCTCCAACACTTTCCCAGCTCTTTGATTTGATTCTTCTTTCAACCTGTTGACCAAATTCATCTTCCTAAGAATAGCATGCCACATTATGTTCTGTTCTAGGCCTTCTCACATTTATAAATTTTATAAATTATCTAAGGATATAATCACTAATAAAAGACAAACGTGCAAATTGACCATACCTTTGCTACACTTTAAGCCATGCCCACCACCAATCAGAGCAACTATATGCAAATTAACCCAACCAAGATGGTGGCTGGCAGCCATGGAGCTGGAGCAAGCAGGAGGCTTGGTTGCCAGTGATGGGGGAAGCCAAGCTTCCCACCTGCCGTGGCCAGTTATGAGCTCCAATCAAGGCAACAAAGTTTCAATTATAGAAGGTAAATAAATCCCAGAATAAAAAAAGAAAAGAAAAAAGGAGAGGCTGGGAGCTTCTGTCACTGGGAGTCTTAGCCAGCCTGAAAACAGCCATCAGCCCCTCACCCAGGCTGGCCAAGCACCCTAGCAGGACCCCTACCCTGCTCTGGGACACCCTTCAGGGCAAACCAGCCGACCCCCACCCATGTACCAGGCCTCTATCCTATATAATAAAAGGGAAATATGCAAATGGACCCTAACAGCATAACGACTGGGAATGACTGGTCACTATGACACACACTGACCACCAGGGGGCAGATGCTCAATACAGGAGCTGCCCCATGGCGTTCAGGGGGCTCCCACAGGGGGAGCTCTGCTCAGCCACAAGCCAGGATGATGGCTGCCAGCATAGCGGTGGTGGCAGGAACCTCTCCCACCTCCTCAGCAACAATAAGGCTGTCCGACTGCAGCTTAGGCCTGCTCCCTGCTGGTAAGTGGCCATCCCCTGAGGGCTGCCAGGGGGATGTCTGACTGCCAGTGTGGGCCCGATCCCCCAGGGAGTGGGTCTAAGCCAGCAGGTGGATATCCTCCAAGAGGTCCCAGACTGTAAGAGGGCATAGGTCTGGCTGAGGGACCCAACTGAGTGCACAAATTTTTGTGTACTGGGCCTCTAGTTCTTCTATAAAAGTAGACACAAAATTAAACCAATGGTTATTTTGCAGTTTTATATTAAATAAATTCTTTAAAAAAAATACCCAGGATTATCTTTTGGGAAGAACTAAGCACAGGTGACAGTTTTAATATTTGATGTGCCTTTCTCTATAGCTGAGCTTATTTCTCTTCCCAAGATTATTGTACTAGTTTGTGATGCAAACATGACCTCTGGCCTAGTCAGATAAGCATCAATCTTTTGTAAAGACAGGAAAACTTAATATGATAAACACTAGTGGTAGAATTTTAGTAAATGCAGCATTAAAAATAATGAAGCAATTTGCAAAAGGTGTGTTTACTCTCTGTTCTGCACAACTCATTGTACCATGGGGAAAAGATGATCTCAATGTAAAAAGAACATATTAGCACTCTTCCCAAATGAATATTTTCTCTCTTTTTTGAATACTAAGTCTTTTCTTGAGGGGAAAATGGTGTCACAAGCTACTTTCTTTATCACTTTATAAGAATTAAACCAATGGGGATAAATGATAACTTGTATCTGCCTCTGGGTTTCTGCACAATTTTACCAAGTTTTTAAACCTAGTTTTCAGCCAGTGGCTGTAGATTCATCACTGTTTGCATTTTGACTTATCGTAGAATCAGATTATCTGAATGTACTAGTATTTTGTCCTTTCCCAACTCAGCCACCTGTACAAGTCTGCTGACATTTGACCTCAGGTAAGTCCAAACAAAGAAGAGCCGTGACTGTGCTTGGAAGCCAATAAATTTTCACAGGTCAGGCAGTTCAGTCAAACCAAGGGCCAGTCTTTGGTATAAGAAATGTTGATGGATGGAGCTTTAACCCTTTTTGGGTCGACTACCAATGAAAAGTTTCAGAGAGGCTCAAACACAAAGGGAGACAATTTATACACCCTTTTTATTTTAACAGCAAGTATCAATAATGTACCTAGTAATGGTATTAGGCCTAGGAATACAGTGTTGAGAAAAGTACAAGTACCTATCCTACTTGTTAACACAAAGATAGTAGTTCACCCTTGAACAACACAGGTGCTAACCCTCACATGGTGGAAAACCCATGTATAACTTTTGACTAAACCAAAACTTAACTACTTATAGACTACTATTGACCAGAAGCATTACAATAAAATAAACAGTAGATTAACACATATTTTGTATGTCATATGTATTATATACTATATTCTTACAAAAAGTAAGCTAGAGGGAAAATATTATTAAGAAATTTATAAGAAAGAGAAAATACTTTTATAATATTGTACTTACTTATTGAGAACAATCCATGTATAACACACAGTTCAAACCCATGTTGTCCAAGGGTCAACTATACATTGTTAAGTAGAAACTACAGATTCAAAATGGAGTCACTTGTAGTAAACCTCACTGAGACTTAAAACATAACTTAATTTCAGTTGCAGTCTCTCCCTGTTAGCTTAAGACATACTGTGTTCCTTCATTCCCAGAGAAAGGACGGGGTAGATGTCAAGTTGAATGTGATTAAGTTTCTC